AGAATATTCAGGGCTCCAGGCATATATTCAGCCAGAACCAGACTATTCAAATCATTGTTGGTCCATCCATTTACTAGTTACAACAAGGCCTTCTGTGACTAATTATGGTCTGACTGCAGCAGGAGAGACAGCTTCAAAGAATGGGAATCTTCAGACACACTAGCAGTTCCCTTGGTTCCCAAATTCGTTATTTATGTGGATTATATTGAGTTGACAGATTTAACTGGGCTGTTGAAGATATGGTCAAAGAAGCAGAGTCACTCCCTTCCCTTTTATTGTCTTCTGAAGACACAACAGTCATATGCATCTGTCACTAGAGAGAGGAAGTTCTCCATCACTTGACTTCATTTGGGGTTTTATAGGCTATTTCAGTAGCATTTGGGAATAGATCAATATAATATGTGGTAGGGAGTTGTATTTATTCATGATGCACTGTAAATCTTTTATTGAAGATGTTCCCACTGTTTATTGTTGAAAATCGATAAAAATAAACCTTGTAAAGTTAAAGCTTGGCAATGGTTCAGCACAAATCAGAGCGAAGGAGCAAGAGTCAATGAGCCTCCCTCCTTTTCTTGGATAATTCCCAGCTTGTTTCTCAATGAATATTTAGTAACACTTTCCAGTAATCTAGGAACAAATTAGAAAAAAAAAATAAATTCAAAGTTATGAACTCTTCGTGTGAACTCAAAGAGAACTTCTGATCCACTCTGGTGGCTTTCTGGTACTGAATTCAGCTGTGGATCAAAACAAAATATCACCCAGGTTATGCTGGATGTACCTGAGACTTACCCACTCAAGAGACTGAAAAAAGTGCATCAGCCTTGCTCAGGTCAGATTAAGGGAGTTATTTTTGAGCATTGGAAAGCTGGAAACCAACCAAAATAGGTAGAAACTGGGAAGAGTTCACTAGGCAAAAAAGTTTCTCCAAAGTTAACAGAAGTTACTGTCATTGGGCATGATGCAGTTACTCCAGCATCATTGTTTTGCCCTATGGATATTAATTCCTCATATACAGCATTGTAGGGAGGATCTTCTACTACTTCCATGAAAATCACTTATGAAGGTAAGTGAAAAATGGTTTGGAATTATTTAGTGAAGGGGAAAACTTCCCAGTACTATGGCCAACCCAGAGATCAGTCTTAGTCTAAATAGTATCTTAGTCTATTGTATCAATTTATAGAGCTTTATTTAAATATCTATTCTTAACCATTTATATGATCACATGAGTGCTGACTGCAGAACCTATAAGAATGCAGTGACTGCACTTGCCAAAGAAACAAAAACCCTCATGAAGTGTCATTGAAATCAATACCCAAAGAACAAGAAGGTATTTCACTATAGGCTCTGTCCTTCCTGGTGTCAGCAGGATACTGAACAATTCAAGTGGTAAATAAATGACATGTCCCTGAAAGGATAAGTATGACACAAGAGAGACTTCCAAGTGTGTGAAGAAGCAGGCAAAAAGTTACTTAAAAGCACAAAAAATGTCACCCATCACTAGAAAAGGAAGTCAACACAGTTACATGGTGCAAGAACAGGGGCATGGAAAAAGTCTGTGGTACCTCTATCCTGTTGGGACATCCAACCGGCATCACAAGTGTACTGGCAAAGCCCTTGACAGTCTTGAATATGGAAACACAGGATAACACCCAATTATAAAGGAGGGAAAAGTGATTAAGATGAGAAAGTATAAAGCAAATGAGGCATTGTTTTTGTAAATTGTCTGCCTTTTGCAAATCCTGTAAGCTATCACCTCATTTTGGATGATCTCCTTCTGCCATGCCACGCAGTCCCTGTGAGTGGGACAGGATGATGGTGCTGCCTCACCATTCAGTTTCTTTTTCCCCTATGGCTCTGTGTGTTTGCCTGTTACAAAGCCACAGAGAGCTCATTGTGAGTGAGCGAGGGGGCTGCCCCAGCACTGTGGCAGTTCCTTTTTAGCATCACAGGCAGTGGAACAGTTTGCACATTTCTGCTGAATCCAGGGAAGAACAAAAATGCAAATACAGCAGTGTAGTTTACTGAAATCAGCAAATTTTGCATCTTCACATGAAATAAAGGAATTCTCTTGAGAAAGTTGGCAATGACATAAGAAGCAGATTATGTCAGGGATAACAAATTACTTTTATTGGAAAATAAAAGTCTGAATTTCTCAAAATCCCATTCCCATTTAATCAAAAAGAGAGCTAGATGTGAGCAATCAGAGCTTCTGGTTCTCACATGTTAAAGTACAACCAAGTCACCTACAACACACTGCTGGTCTAGCAAAGATTGTGTTGCGAGATACCAGAGCCGAATTGCCTGCCAAGGTTTGGGTGGAAGTACTCAGTTTAGCATATAATCTAGTTTTGACGAAGCAGCTTTTAAAATCACTCAGACTTGTAGTTCCTATCAGCCAAATTCACTTGTACAGCTGTTCCCTTGTGTGTGAATAACTGTGATGAGCACATACCACACAGTCTGCTCTCTGCTGCATCCCTGCTTGTCTGGGGCTTCAGAGGGGAAGGAGCAGTAAAAACACTGGCCACTGTTTCTAAATTCCTGCCTTGGTGCCTGCAGGTTACACTGCATACCACTTCAAAAAGGGCACAGAAAATTTGCCATCCTGACTCAGCAACATTTAAAGTAGCATAAATAACCTCACAAGGTGGAGGCCAGCTGAAGATCCTCCTAGTAAATCAGTGCTATTTTTATATTAATTTGTCTGCAAATAAACATAACTTCATCTGTACCTCCATAAGTACTGCCATTTAGTTGTTGCTTGAAGCTACACAACACCTGTAGCTCTATCATCACTGCTTCCTTCTTCTGTATAAAGAAATCCAGTAAGGTGCTTTCCTTGAAGAACCAGCTTCAATTCAATTAATTTATTCCATCAATCTTCCACTGAAGTCATGAGTATCCTACTGGTATCTGTCAGACACATTCAACAGATTTCTATCACGTTGTTCACACACATGCTCTCTTATTTAAGGAACTATTAGTTAAAACAAAGAAACAAACAAACAAACAAAAAACCAACAAAGTGAAAGCATTGTGTAAGAGCCTAATCATGTTCTCTACAGGAACACAAAATGACAGAAGGTGACACTTCTCAGTTCAGAGCTAAGTAAGAATAAATGCTAAAGAACTCTGGGAACACAAGCTTGTTGATGGTCATGTGCTTTGCTTCCAAAAGCAGCACAGTCACAGCACACTGTTACCCAAGGGTGAGGTAAAGCACATATGGTTCTTTACATGACAGCAACTTGCACTGGTATATTTTCCTGAGCCAAATAGAATAGAATATTTATGTAGCGCAGCATCATAGAATGATGCTGTGCTACATAAAAATTAACCCATGTGTTCAGCTCATCATTAAGTGTTATTGAAATGGTTGTATCAAACATTCATTTTGCCAAAGACATGGAACATGGATGATGGCATAGGTAAAAACTTTGGAGCTCTTTAAAAATTGAAGTATTTTGTCTTTTCTTTCACTTTATTAAAAAAAAAATAAAATTTGACTCCAAATTTTAATTTTCAAAGTGGCTGCTGCAGAAAGGAAAACAAAGTCCCTACTTTTGTGGTAGGTGAAACAGTGTAATTGTTACTATGAAGGGTTCTGAAACTTGTCTCAGCTTACATCACTGCTATTGGTTATAATTTAGGGTATAATGTCTAAATACAGCCTCAAGTCTATTTTTTAAACTTTCCCTGTAAGAATTTGCTTTTTTTTTGGTCTTGTGCTTTACATTGGCTAGTCCCTCCACCTACAATATCCACGACCAGTAACTCTCCCAATAATCAACATTATCATTTCCAAACAAGCAGCACAGCAACTAGTGGGGACAGGCTGGAAGGGAACTCAAAGATTATCTGGTCCAGCCTTTCATGTGACACAGAGCCTCCATGAAGTCATTTAGCACCTCCTTCAAAATTTCTAACAAGGGAGACTCCACCACATCTGTGGGAAAGTTGTTCAGTGAATGATGGTTCTCACTGTAAGAAATATCTTACTTCAAGAGAAATATGAACACATTGACATTACTGACCAAAAAAATCCCATTTGAAGTGGAATCATTCACTCTTACATTTACTACATAACCTGTAAGCAGCATGGGAGATGTAGTCCCATAATCATATTATTCTTAATTCAAACAGCTCTAGAACAAGCAAAGAGGATCTCACTGTGCTTCTGAACTTGGGTCAAGCTGAAAAGCCCCGGAGCAGTAGCCAAAGAAAAGAGGTGTCCCATAGTGGCACCTCTTTCCAGTCTGGAAAGATCCATTTTACTGAAACTCCTTAGGGCAGGAAACAGATGGCTGAGTCCCACCCCCCTTATCAAGTGCTGCCAATAAAGTAATGCATGCACATTTTAAAACTAATGAAAAGCCAGATTTAATTGGTCAGCCAAGAAAGCCCAAAGTGGTTCTCCTGGGCTGTTCGAAGCCTTGGGAAGATGGTGCAGTCTCAAGCTGCGACAAAGGAAATATAGATTGGATATTAGGAAAAAGTTTTTCACAGAAAGACTCATAAAGTTCTGGAATGGTCTGGCTGGGGAGGTGGTGGAGCCACCATACCTGGATGTGTTTAAAAACAGACTGAATAACTGGATGTGGCACTCGAGGCCATGGTTTAGTTGAGGTGTCGGGGCATGGGTTGGACTTGATGATCTTTAAGGTCTCTTCCAACCGTGTGGTTCTGTGAATTCTGTGTTTTACCAGCAACAAAATTGAGATGCAACTAACGAATCCCTGAAGTTACTGCTATCTTCCTTCCCTGCCTTGATGGAAGGACAAAAGATTCTTAATTTATAAAGCTTCATTAACTTACCTCTCTCAGTACCTGAGCTAATTTTTTTCATCTTTACAAAGGTTTGACAGGACTAACAAGGCTCTTAAAGCCACTTCTGCTAAGCCTTCTAACAGTGTTGTACTTAACAAGTACTAAAAAATCCTTTGCACTGTTTTGTTTGAAACTGAACAAACTCTTTCATGTGAAGGGCTGTTCATCACATTTTCATCCTTTTTGTGGTGAAAGCACTAAAAATTAACTGACCTTCTGTTCACAAAGATCTTTATAATTTAATTCTCAGAACCAAAGAGCATCTTAATGCCACCAGATGGGAGGAGAGGACAAGAGACAGTCACACATTATTTCACAGACCTCAGCGATGGTTTTCACAAAGCCACACAGCAGCACAGCTCGGGATGTTCCCCTTACACTGTTCTCAGCCAAGTGCAAGAGAGTCAGTGAGTGGAAGCACTAATCAATCATTGGGGCTTGCATTCCTCCCCCAGCCACTTCTAACTGTTGGGATGACAGCTGCATCATCTTCATATATTACCATGTTTTTAAAACCTACTTGCAGATTAGCACAGAACATAAAAACAATTTTCTGGAAGGGATGGCTGATGCTTTATAAGTCCTCATGTAAATTTTAGCCACAGAGAAAAAACAAAAACTCTTGGAATTGCTGAAATCTGGTCCACAAACCCAGTATTGAATCTGGGCTTCTTTTACTTAAAGAGGGTAGAGCAGTAAAAGGCAAGAAAGTAATTTTTTTCCCCTAAATATTTGAAAGAAAATGTGTTGGTTACTTCCTTCAATAGCTGCAGTTTCAAACAAGCCAAAACAACAAAAAAAAAGGTCACTAGTGCTGACACGTCCCTCTTCTACATTCAAAAGATGGAAGCAAAAGCCCTTATTTCCCTTTCTGTACTTAGCTTCTCCTTGCCTGTGCTACCCCAGAGCTCCCTGGGGTTTGGTTCTCCATGATGGCAAGGCCTGCTGCCCTCTTCATCCTTTCAAAAGTGTAGCATTCAACCTTCTCTTCACTGCCGGCTGTCCTGGTGCTTATGAGGCGAAATCCATCTCTGAGTAAAGTGTCAAGCAGCAGGCCTAGCACGTTAGTACCATTAATCAGCTTTCTCTTATCAGGCTTTATGGAAACATACCTAAAATCAGAGGGACAAAAAAACAGTTACAACACACTTTAACTACTTCTTTACAGCACAGATCAGCACAACTGCATTGTGTTTAAAGCAACCAAAGCTCCAGATATTTTTTTTTCCATAAAGAACGACTGGACTCTTTCCTTCATTGAGAGTAATTCTCAGTTCATCCAGTTCTGTGCTGGGGAAGAAGCACTTTCCTTTCACACCCTCCTCCACCACAAAACTTACTTTCTTAAGAAATATCTGTGACAACCCCCATCTTGTCTCAACAGAGGAGAAGTAAGCAGCAGACTCTGTAACGCTGCAACAGTTTTTCAGGTAAGAGTAAACAGTGGACAGCAAGAGTCACGTTCACCCCAAGAGCATCACTCTCCAACACACAGGATCTCTCTCTACAAACACTGACATTTATTGCAAAGTTACCTTGTACAGCAGGTCTTGTGGTAACAAATATGAAAATCATTTTCACATGGTCTCAAAAGATTTTATTTGATATAAAGTACAGTGTAAGAATCTATCCAGACATTCTGAGGAGCAGAAGTCAGGTAAAAACACTATTACAAAATGTATAAACTGACAGGTGAAACTGTTCCACAGTTCACAGGCAAGTACACCAAACATTCATGGAAAGCACAAAAAAGGCAAAAAAGTCCATGTCACTACAGAGATTAAGGAGACAGAAATTCAGCAAGGCAACATAATCAAATTTTACTTGTTTCATTACTCAAGATCAGCTTTTCTATTGATCTGCAAAGGGAAACTTTTACCAATTCTGAAGAAATAAATGAAAAAGTCAGAAATATTTTCCCCACTACTTAAGTTGCCATAACCTACTCAACCAATTGCTAGTCCACTAAAATTAGTCATATGTTACAAAGTTAAGGTTTGGCACACAAAAATATATATTGCTTCACAAATGCCAAGTAGTTTTTATTCTAATTGCTTAGCCAAAGAAATCTGGAAGAAAGATAAAGTTTATTTTCTTTTAGAAATAACCAAAAGACTGCTGTGTTGGTTCATATATTCAAATAGAATATTTTTTGAAATATTTCAATGAAATTTCCATAAAATTCCAGATATTCTAATAGCCACAGAGGACGAAATAGGTTAACATTTTCTTATACAGTAAGAACATGTCTCCATACAATAGAGACAGCCAGAAAAAGATAGTTCAAGTAACCCAAATAGTCATTAGAATATGATACTGCTATCACACAAATTACTGATACACAGTTATCTTAATAAAAACAGAACCTGGCTCTGAATTCAAAGAAACCCACTGTGAAGCATATAGTTAATAATCTGTATATTCTCCCTCCCCCTAATAAAAAGCTCTACAAAAGCTTTCCAGTCCCCGAAAAGCTGTCTCAGTTCCACTGGAATTTTTAACCCTTCCTGTCATTCTTTGCTGTTTCTCATGTGAAAGCCTTTTGCACCATAAGCCAGTAGAGATTTTAGGCTTCCACCCACTATTTTACTTCTTTATTTTGTTTCCTTTGCTTCATTTTACTGTGTTTTTCATGTTCTGTAGAAGGTGATACTGTGAAATTCTAAACTGAGTGAGGAGGAAATTGGAGAGAGAGAAAACCCAAAAATGCTCATAAACAAACATCAAGAACAGTACTTTAGGAAGCTGAAGAACAGGCAAATCAGTGTAACAAATTAAACTGGGTGTTTCAGAACTAGAAAAAGATAACATTGAACAGAAAGAAGGAAATGTATTTCTTTTCTTACGGTTTCTTTAAAATGAGCTTTGCTAGCACGTAGTGTGCACATCATGAACTGCAAGTCACAAAGTCTGTAATGAGAAGTCACTCTAGGGACAGTACCTGGCCACGAACTGGTCACCAGCAGAATACTCAGTACCACACAGAAAAACCATATCATGATGCGAGGGTCTTTCCAAAGGAAGTGGAACAAGTGGTTTCTGGGAAAGAAAAGGGCTGTTCCAGCCCTGTCCTGGCTGCTGCCCTGTAAACACAGTGATCTGCTCAGCTAGTGCCTCAATGGTGGTACTGCAGGAACCAAAGATCCGGAAAAAGGCATGCATTTCTTGGAGAGAAAAACGCACTTCCAAGATCTCCAACCTCGGCTTCAGCAAATGTTCTTGGCTCAGGAGGTTGGCCAGGGGGTAGAGTCCATAGAATTCTGCTTCTCTCTGCAGCCTCTGATAGTCTGAGAAATCAGGTGGTAAGGACACCTGGAGAGTCCTCAAGAAGTCCATGATGTAACTAAACAAAGCTCCATCTCTGTCCACAAAAAACTCTCCATTCACCAGTTTAAATTCCTGGTCATCGTCATTCACCATGTGTGCCAGCCTGGACTCAGGGAACTGCTGCAAGGTGGAAGCCCGGGTTACGAATCTCACACCTCCCACACTCAGAACAACCACCTCTCGACTACTCATGGCTGCCTCAGCCACTAAGGAATCGCAGCTCTCTGATCCTCATGTCTGTGACTTGATCCTTCCTAAACTGCAAGGCAGCTGCAAAAACCATTGCATGCTTTTAGCAAGTGTTTGGAGTGAGGTGTGGAGCAGCAACAGGATTCCCAGGCAACAAAGATGTAAATATCATGTACAATAGTTTTGTTTGCTGGGTTTGGTTGCTTGGAGACTTTGAATTCTTGGAATTTAATGTTTTATTTTTGAAATGAACAGCTTGCGAGGACTACTGGAATACAGTGAATTGACTGTCACAATTTATGAAACCTTCAGAGAGGCAAACAAATATTCCCAAAGGATGGCACACATTATGTTTGTTTTCTAGAAATGTCAGTTCAACATTTTCATTCCATACACTGCTGTTCGTACGACCACTGCAAAAAGAGGTTAAATGTGCTTCAGGCGAGACATTTCAGTACTGTATGCTCCGGAAGAAGGGCACTTCAGAGGACTCAAGTTTAATATTCCCTTAAAATCACTGTATCTAAGGCCAAGTCAGTACAACCAGAAAATTCAAATAGCTCCTGAAACGAGATACACAACAATGCAGCAACAGCAGAAGAACCTACACAAGTTCTTCAAACACCACCAACATCCATACACCTGCTGCATCCCACAACCTGTTCCAGGAATCATCCAGTCATTTTTCCTGGCTTTTGGAATTGCAATCTGGAGAGGCAGAGAGGGACAGGAGAGCAGCTGTTCTGCCTGCCACCTCTGCAGGGCTAGAGCCCAGGCTGCCTTCCTGTGGCAGACCCCTGCATGCCTTTCACTGCACTAAGTTCTTTATGTTAAGGCCAGTTTTTAAGAAAGCATGGCTTCAGAGAAACATGGAACTAACAAAACAGCCCAGCTACCCCGACAATTTGATGTTGGAAAAATAAACTGCAAAGTATGAACTATCTGCAAAGCACATACTGTCCTGCAGCTTGTTCTTATCGTTACCTCTAGAATTTATGCTTGCCCTGAAGACACATTTTTGTATAGGACATGTAATCTGAATGCACAGGGTAATTACAATATTTGGTTATATAAAAAAGATACCCCACAAAACCAAACCAAAACATATAGCTATTTCAGAGAGAAGTAACATTGTCAGATAGAAGCTGGTTCCAGAATGTGAATTATGCATGCTGCATTTTGCATGGAAGGACAGTCCTCAGCAAACCTGTCAGCACAGTGCTCACCTCAGTCACAACTCTTCTTCCTCTTTCCAAACAATCTCCCAGTTAGAATTTTTTTTAAACTACAATCTTTTACCTTATTCTTTACAATTACATTAACATCAAACTAAAGGTACAGTTTGGCCCTATATTTTGGTAAGAAAAATGATTTACAGTGAGTAATATTCCCATAATCGCCACTGAAAGAAGAATCCACAAAGTGTTTTTCAAAGCTCCATTTCATTTTCTGGTTTAGCAGTGCTCAAACTATGTGAACATTATGAATGTTTTGGAATCATTTTGAACCTTTGAATGTTTTCACTGGAAGTCTGAAAAGACCAATTAATTTAAGAGGTTCTATGTTTTCTCCCCCAGATCTCTCTTAGTTCTTATATTCCAGCAGACACTTCACAACAGTTTATATTTGCACACAAACTGTGCGACGTTATCCAGTACAACCAGAGTATAGTTTTTACACTTTTCTCTTAACAGTGAAGCTCCATCTGTCATCTGTTCCCAGTAAAAGACTGCATGATCTGCTATCTCCACGGTATCTGCCAAATAGGACAAGCAAATTGTAAGGAACTGAGATTTCCAGTACTGGAGATTGTCAATGACTGACTCCACAAAGGACATTCTGGTGACAGCAAGAATGAGCAAGAAAATAAGAGAGTTCACTATAAATCTGCGTGAAAAGACTGAGGGAATCTTGAATTTGAATGTGTTGCTTTCCTGAGGCAAGGAAAGTTTGTCCACATCAACGAGCTTTATTCCATTCCACTGGCTGGTATCAAAGCTCTTCATTGTGGGACTGATGTCCACAGTGGAACAAGGTAAAGGGGTTTCTTTGAGCACCTTGATTTTTTCCCTGAACTCCTGCATCTGTTGCAGAAATATAATGGGTTCGGACACATCTTTGAAGGCCTCCGCAATGTTAAAAGCCATCCGCTGCTCTTGCAGAATCGTGTTCAGTTTATTGATTTCCGGATCGTAGGCCTGCATCACTGCAAGCTTCATGGTCTCAAAGTCAGACAGAATCTCATTTCGCTTCTGCTCCAGTGTGTGCTGCAGCTTCTCAAAGAACTCCTTCACTTTATCAGAATCTTTCGTCAGCATCTGCAGAGCTTTCCTCTTGCTGGTCTCTAAGGTATCCAGCCGTGAGAGGGCATCTCCACAACGCCAAGTTTCAAAGCCCTGAAACAAGGTTTCAAAAGCCCGCTTCTCCTGGGAATAAGCTTCTTCAATGGAACAGAAAACATGCTTTGTGTGGTCACCACGGGTGGCACATACCCCACAGATCAGCTGCATGTCTGTCCTGCAAAAAATGTTAAGGGGTTGCCCGCTGTGCACTTTGCACACAGGCATTTTTGGAGTTACTTTGATTTTGTTGTACTTCTCCACGATACCCTTCAGGGAATAGTTGACCTGCAAGCTGTTGACTCCAGTGACAGGAGTCTCCTTCCTGCATGTGGGGCACTTGAAAGGGGATGGCCTCCAAAGCACATTCCGCACATTTCCCTCAAGAATTCCTTCCAGACACTTTCTGCAGAAATTGTGTGAACAGGGCAGGACACGAGGATCGTCAAACAGGCTACAGCAAATGGGACAGGTCAGATCTTCCTCTAGGAGCTCCATCATGTCCTAGGAAAGAGAAAAAAGATGGTAACAGTACTTACAAAACTTATTTCCCCCTCAAGGAGACGATACAAAAAACAATCTCCATCTGAGACATGTCTCAGTGAGAAAAGGATGTATTTTTTCCTCCAGTATCCTTAAGACAGCGCTTCAGCTGGATTTTTGCAGCCAGTCTCCCTTAGCTGTGGTGCCTGGCCAGCAAATGGCAGGTGCAAGAATGGTGCAAAGCTCAAGCAGAACCATTTTTTTGGACGCTCAATTAGAAATGCTGGAAAAGAACGCTTGCCAATCTCAGCAAGGATTCTTAAAGAAAGTAACTCATGTACTCATAATAACAGTGCAAGTCTTACATCTTTCCTTGCTGATGCAATACACAGAAATGGGATTTGCACAGAAGATACACAGCAAATATACTCTACTAAGATTTGATTACTTTCTACTTGCTCCACTCATCCAAAGCTTCCAGTTTCAAACCCACACACTGGTACTATAGACAATACTAAAAGTGACTGAAAAAGCCCAGTTGCAGTGTTTTTTTGCTGCTACAGAATACATAATGTGTCTTTCTGCTCTACTTGCAAGGCCAAAGGAGAGTCACCACTCACTTAAAGAATGAGCTTTTCGCTTGCTCCTGCAGTATTTTTAAATAACCAACTGAATGTGTTACTATTGAGCCATTCAGCACAAAGTTAAAATACTTCAAATAATAGATGCCCATAATCCTTGATAATTCATCATGAAACAAAACTGTTAAACATTTTTACTCATCTGCAATTTCTATTTCCAATTCCATTCTCACAGCATTCACACCCCAGTAATTTCTTTCTGTGGAGAGAACCTACAGGAAGAATATTTATCATGTAATCCTTCCTACTGGAAAGTCTCAGTGAAGGGACCCAGCGCACTACCCTCCCCCTGCCTCTAACTAAAGCCAAGTTCTCAGATGCAAACACCTTGTAACTTACAGCATGCTCTAAGAAAACAAATAGCTAATAAAGACCAAAATAGGTGACAGTCTGTATCATCCAAAGCTCTCAAACTTCATTTTGAGCTATAATTAGAGAGATGCTTCCCTTGCATAAATTCCTTCCGTATTATACAACATATATTCATATATATGTAATAAAATTCCTTTTATAAATTGAAAGACATCACAGAAAAGTGCATCAAAGTACTGTGAATGAGCTCCTAATTAGGTTTGATGTAATTTCTAAGGTTTCTGTCCCCTCAAAGAAATATGAAGTGGAAAACATGGGAGCCAGGAAGAGAGCTGCAAGGGAAGATCCATGCTGCACAGGACAAGAAGAGCAATAAAAACAATACCACTGATCCAAGGAAAGCAAAGTTCACTATCAGGAAGAAAAGTGAGGTCACTCCTGACTTTCCTTCACAAAAGGACCAATAGTCCCAGTAAGACTTCACAGTAAAAGCTATTATTGAGAAGTGTAAGCAAATTTCCCATGCTTTTCAAGTGAGGAGGAGGGGTTGTCACAACCCGAAAATTCAGTAGAACTTTTCAGTGGACTGAAGAAAGACAGCAGTTCAGTGTCAGGGAACTCTTGTCCTTTATTATATAGCCACCTTAACTCTGACAGCCATCCCGCTATTCAGTTGTAGAAGTGTTGGCTAACAAGCTCTTGACTTTTACAGTGAACTTTACCAAGCTCCCGACTCTCCCAGCAAACTCCAGCACAGAGCAAGGGGTAAAACCCGATTGCCGCACTTGGTGGGATAGAACAAGAGAGGAGAGCAAAGATGGAAAACAGAGAAAGTGAAGGGAAAAGACCACCAGTCCTTAGATCCCACATGGGTCCTGCCACTGTGTATGGTCCAGATCTGTGATCAACAAAAGCCTAGGACCGATCCCCTCCCTGTTACAGTTTCCCTAGGGCACATCCCCTCATTTTTCACACCATTTGCTGCTGCTGGCACACGCACAGTGAGCCCTTAGAGCCCTTCAGGAAATGAGTGGGGGGCTGGGGGCCTGTGGTGGTCTGGGAGCCCCCTTTAGCGAGGTGCCCAGGACTTGACCCTTCTCTTGCTGCAGGCACACTAAACGTGAGCCTCCAGGCTGATTAACAAGCCCAGCAATGAAAGCGAAGCTGGCTCACAACGGCACTTCCCTGCCTCAGCGGGACCCTCTCTCCCAATCCCAACTTTCCTACAACAGCACGACAGTCAGAACGCTTGAGACTACCATGCTTAGGTGCTTATGCCCCTCCACATATTCTTGTGCTTGCTGGAAAAAAGAAACTTTGGAAAAGTTGCCAGCTTTTTTACTCAGAACTAAAGTCAGGAGGCAAAAGAAGCCACCACTACAACTGGGGAAAAGTCCCAGAGTAAAGGTCTAATAACTCTAACTAATGGGCTTCCTGTAAGCCCACAGATCCCATTCAGAAACCTCATTTTCTGTGAGGAGAATGAGAATACAGTTTTGAAGCACCTCTCATGCTCTCAAAGCAATGTTTCTCTTCCATCGTTTTCCTAATGCTAAAA